CCGCAGCCTCGACCTGCTGGGCTCCGGCGATCCTGCCGCCTCAGCCTTCCGAGTCGCCGGAACTACAGGCGCGCGCTCCCACGCCCGGCTGATTTTTTGATTTGTTGTAGAGAGGAGGTCTCGCTGCCCAGGCGGGTCTCGAACCCGTGGGCTTAGGCCATCCACTCACCTCAGCCTCCCAAAGCACTGGGATTACAGGCTGAGCCACCGAGCCCGGCTAGGCTTCATATTTCGTAAGTGGTACTGTATGCCCATTTGGTCTCTACCACTGGGCTCAAGCGATCCTTCCTCCTCGACCTCCCAAAGTTCTGGGATGACAGGCCTGGCCGTATATGCCGACTTGGGAAACAGTTGGGTGGAGGAAGTCCCAGGACAGACTTTAGAAATGCCCCCGCAAAGAGAGCCTCTCTTATTGTAACACGGGCCCATTACACTCCGCGGACCTGGTGCGCGCACCCATTCTCGGCCAGGAGTCTCCAGCTCTCCGTGCAAGGGCGAAGACTCCCTTCCTCCAGCCCAAAGCTCCGAGCACTGTGGAATAGCAGCCCCTGAGCACCGACGAGCAGCTGGGGAAGAAATACTTTGTAATGATGAGACTTGGGGGGGGGCACTCCTCATCCCACCCCTTTCAGCCCAGATGAGGAGAAAAATCTGCATATTTTGAGCCCCGGACTCTGAGCTCCGTACCGCACATGGTGTTTAAGTGTCTTGGTGCCAAATGGAGTCTCTCAGAGGTATCTGCAGAATGATTAGCTCTCATTCAATGCAATAAACGTGAACTGGGCATCTTCTATATGCCAGAAATGAATAAGACACGGTCTGCAATCCCTTAATGTAGGAAGAAATGAGGGAACTAAGGCATTTGAACCCACCTCTGGTCAATAGTCTCAGTTAACAAGCATGTACCACTGAGAGCCGGGCACTGCCTTAAGGGAACATCAGGGTGAGAAAGTGGGATTTCTGTCCCCTATCCTTGGGGAGCTCTTAGACTGCTGGAACAGAGGGAGAGAATTCAACCCCTGCATTTTTAATGGTAATGATATAAGGAATCGCGGGGTGCTATCATAGCATGGAGGAGAGTCACTTGATCCAGGCCCAGAGAGGGGCAGGGGTTTCCTGGGAGACAGAAAAATCCAAATGTGTTGTCAAACATGATGAGTTAGCGAGAATAAGAGCATGGAAAAAAGGGTGTTCCAAGAGGAGGGAGGAGTCGGGCGCGGTGGTTCATGCCTGTAATCCCAGCATCATTTTGGGAGGCCAAGGTGAGAGGATTGCTTGAGGACAGGAGTTGAAGACCAGCCTGGAAAACATAGTGAGATGTCATCTCTATAAAAAAATTTAAAGCCGGGCTCGGTGGCTCAGCCTGTAATCTCGTGCCTTTGGGAGGCTGAGGTG